ACAATCGAGCTGAAAGTTATGTCGTTTTCATCCATGCTGCGCGTTTGCTACTTGAATCAAGTTGATCCATTTGGTTTCTTCTTTCAAACCCAACATGAAACTTGCTCCTTGACTTGTTAACTTTGAAACTTCGTCTACTATAACTTGAGCAAGTAATCTCATTGCCTCTTTCACCCACTTTACTCTCGAACGTGTCATCGAGCCTCCTTCGGTAATCAGTAGATTCCGTCCCGGGCCTGTCCTCGTCGAGCTCGACTACTAGATCATATCATTATATGGTGTGTGTGACCTTTGACTTTAAAAGTGGCATCATTTGACTTTTAATGCAAAACAGATGACAAGATAGAATAAAAAAGAGATACCTAACACTTAAAAATCTTAGCCAAACAATTTTATGAAAATAAGATAAAGATATTCTGATAAAAAAAATTATATAATACGACATTTTAATTAAAAAGTAATATTTTAATGCAATTCATAATCAACACGGAAAAAAAAAAGTAAGAGAAAAAAGTTAAACTAAAATATCACCATGGCCCAATCTGAATGAAACAATAAATAATGAGTAAAACCACACAAAAATTAGAATGAAAAGCTTCTAATTTAGAAAGTGACAAATGACATGTATATTTTGTTTAATAATTAAAAATATCACTATTTAACCAAACCTATAATCACAATCAAAACAAATTATATCTCCAAAAACATTAACGATGTACTTTATCTACGTACAATTATGTTGTGATTAAAATCTTTATATACAGAAAATTACCCATATTGTCAATTTTTCTTTAAAAAGTCATGTCATATTAATTTTGACTTATTTATGGTGTGTTTGAGTCGCATTATTTTAGAAGAATGTATTTTGGAATAGTAGATTGATGGAGAAAGTGTGGTTGAAAAAAAAAAAAGAAAAGTTATTGATGTGATGTAAAATATTATTTTATTAAAAAATGTATGGTTGAAAATGAGTAGAAGAATGAGAATAAAAATTTTAATGTGGCTCAAACATGGGCTTAGCATAGCTTGCTTGTACAACCTTAAAAAGTATTATATGGAGTAGGGATAGCAAAAAAATTCATGTACAATTCACCCAATACCTGTGAGTCCTACCTTGAATGAGCGGAGATTACCCACCCAATTGGTTAAACAGGGCGGGGGACGGGAGTTGTTGTCTCAAAGCGGGTATGAGATGGGTACGGGAAATATAGTCCCCTTCTCACTAGTTGCCCCATTTAAATTAAATTTCAAATTTAAATTTTTTATCAAACAAAAAGAAAAGATTTATTATCATTTTTGGAGAGAACATGAGTTGTTCTTAATAAATTGAAAAAAAAAAAATATTCATTAACTAAAGATATAACAAAATAAAAGCAAGAAATAAAAAATAAACGAGAGCGATAAATGGGACAAGGGACATGTCTCGAACATGTCCCGTCCCGCTTTAACTGAGTATGAGAGTGGGGTAATGTAACAAAAAATTCGACGAAAATAATTGATCCGTTGTCATTCCTAATAAAAAGTAACAAATCCTTATAAGAAAATATTTAGTTGTATTTTTTGTTTTGATACGATCAAAAAGTCACGTACAATTAAGAATAGACAATTTACTGAAATTGAACCTCTTGATTCAAAATTGAATCGGAATCATCGGTTCTTGTTGGATTTCAAAAATTACATGGAACCAAATGGTTTCATTTACAAAATACTCGAACTTTGGTGAGTAGTTTCAATTCTTGAAATACCAATTGATATTTGATTAGGAAGCCAATTTTTATTTTTATTTATTTTTTATTCCTTTCACTTTTTCGGTTGTATTCGCTGACCCTTCCCTACCTAGGGCTATAAGCAAAAACCGCCAAACAAGAAAATCGAATCGAAACCGCAATTTCGAAACCTGCGGTTTGGTGCTACGTGGACCCGTCAACGAAATGGTTTTGAACCAAACCAAACCGGTCAAAAACAGTTTGGTTTAGGTTTGAGAATTTTAATTNTAGGTTTTTTTTTTAATTTAGGGTGTGTTTGAGCTACATTATTTTGGAAAAATATATTCTGAAATAGTAGATTGATGGAGAATATGTGGTTGAAAAAGAAGGAAAAGTTATTGATATGATGTAAAATATTATATTATTAAAAAATATATGGTTGAAAATGAGTAGAAGAATGAGAATAAAAATTTTAATGTGGCTCAAACATGGGTTTAGCATAGCTTGCTTGTACAACCTTAAAAAGTATTATAGGGAGTAGGGATAGCAAAAAAATTCATGTACAATTCACCAAATACCTGCGAGTCCAACATTGAATAAGCAGAGATTACCCATCTAATTGGTTAAACAAGGCGGGGGACGGGAGTTGTTGTCTCAAAGCGGGTATGAGATGGGTACGAGAAACATAGTCACCTTCTCGCTAGTTGCCCCATTTAAATTAAATTTCAAATTTAAATTTTTTATCAAACAAAAAGAAAAGATTTATTATCATTTTTGGAGAGAACATGAGTTGTTCTTAATAAATTGAAAATAATAATAATAACATTCATTAACTAAAGATATAACAAAATAAAAGCAAGAAATAAAAAATACGCGAGAGCGATAAATGGGACAAGGGACTTGTCTCAAACATGTCCCGTCCCGCTTTAACCGAGTATGAGAGTGGGGTAATGTAACAAAAAATTCGATGAAAATAACCGATCTGCTCTATATCCGATCCGTTGTCATTCCTAATAAAAAGTAACAAACCCTTATAAGAAAATATTTAGTTGTATTTTTTGTTTTGATATGATCAAAAAGTTACGTACAATTAAGAATAGACAATTTACTGTAATTGAACCTCTTGATTCAAAATCGAATCGGAATCATTAATTCTTGTTGGATTTCAAAAATTACATGGAACCAAATGATTTCATTTACAAAATACTCGAACTTTGGTGAGTAGTTTCAATTCTTGAAATACCTATTGATATTTGATTAGGAAGCCAATTTTTATTTTTATTTAGTATAGCTTGCTTGGCCAACCTTAAAAAAGTATTATAGCGAGTAGGGATAGCAAAAAAAAATCAGGTATAATTCACCGAATATTTGTGAGTCCTACCTCGAATGAGCGGAGATTACCCATCCAATTGGTTAAACAGGGCGGGGATGGGAGTCGTTATCTCAAAGCGGATATGAGACGGGTACGGGAAACATAGTCACCGCCTTGCTAGTTGCCCCATTTAAATTAAATTTCAAATTTAAGTTTCTTATCAAACAAAAAGAAAAAAATTATTATTATTTTTAGGGAGAACATGAGTCGTTCTTAATAAATTGAAAAAAAAAGTAATAATATTCATTAACTAAAGATATAAAAAAATAAAAGCAAGAAATAAAATAAATAAAAAATAAACGAGAGCGATAAATGGGACAAGGGACCTGTCTCGAACATGTCCCGTCCCGCTTTAACCGAGTAAGAGAGTGGGGTAATGTAACAAAAAATTCGACGAAAATAACCGATCTGCTCTACACCCCGATCCGTTGTCATTCCTAATAAAAAGTAACAAATCCTTATAAGAAAAATATTTAGTTGTATTTTTTGTTTTGATATGATCAGAAAGTCACGTAAAATTAAGAATAGACAATTTACTGTAATTGAACCTCTTGATTCAAAATCGAATCGGAATCATTAGTTCTTGTTGGATTTCAAAAATTACATGGAACCAAATGGTTTCATTTACAAAATACTCGAACTTTGGTGAGTAGTTTCAATTCTTGAAATACCAATTGATATTTGATTAGGAAGCCATTTTTTATTTTTATTTATTTTTTATTCTTTTCACTTTTACGGTTTTATTCGCCGACCCTTCCCTACCCACTCCCAGGAGCCGTAATGTTAACTTGGGCGCCGCTGGATTCTCTCAAAAATAATTCTAACCTTAAGAGAAAGGTCCCATATGCCAAATTTGTGCCAGAAATTGAAAAAACATTCCCCGTACCTATTTTTTCCTTAAATAGGTAAATAACCCTGGGTCCGCCCATGATCATGTTTGTCTTTAGGATTTTCACCTACTTGATAAATGCGTATCTTTGTCTCTTAGCATACCAAGTTTTTTGTTTCTTGTACTTCACTTATCAAACAAAAATGCAGGCAATAAAGATACTAAATTATTGGAACACTTTATTAATCATCTACAAATATACCACAAAATAGCCTCCAATATCTAGCATAATATCATCTAATTCTGGCCACTGTGGTTATGTATGCGACGCTTCCAGAAGGAGTTGTGGTGGTAGCTCGTAAAATGCAGTTAGGAGTAATTATTAATGAATAAATATGATTGAATAGGGTACTCAATATTTGTACTTTGCAAATTTGATACCTATTGAAGCATTGAAAACTTATTACTTGTTTGGTCGATTCATTGGGCGAGGGTCAATAGATTGTAAAAGTTAAAAACAAATTCAATTCCAGAGTTGAAAAACCTACTAGTTGTTTGGTTGGTTCATTAGGTAAGGGTGAATAAATTGTAATAAATAAAAATATGACAAATGACAAATTCGATTCCATAGTCGAACATCCGCAGTTCCAGTTTAAGATGCACGGATCGAATGATCCAAAATTTTGGTTCCTATTTTTTTTTGGTACTGGATCGGAACCTCATGTTCTAATTCGAGAGGTTCTGTTTTAGTTAAAATGTCCACACCTAAAAAGAATGGGACGACAGTATAAGATTTTTCAAACTCATATGAGAGCTTTTTAAGAGAAAAAAATATTTTTTTATGAATATGAAATAAAAAAGTAAGAAATTTTTTTGAATTCATCAATAAAATATATGAGTGTAAATGATTTTGAGGAAAATCTCTCTTGAACTAACCCCCAAAAAGTTAAAAGTTAGGTTATGGTATATATTGATGAATCAAAACTTTCATTCTTTGCCATTCGAGCTTTTTTACTTGCTTGCATTGTTCACAAAAGTTTTACATTAGTTCATTCAAGTGGTAATATTTTTAATTAAACAAAAGAAGAAGAAGATATTATGTGCGGGATCCTAATTGGTTTCCAAAAGTTTCCTCTGTTTTCGTAAAACTGTGGGCGGAAACTTTTTTTTTTTTCTTTTAAATTTAAAATTGGCAAATGACACTGTCAAAGTTAGTTTACACAAAGCATGATTGTAAAAGAAATTGTCGGAAAGAAAACCATTTTTTTAGAAATGGTCGATGACAGTTGATAAACTTGGTGTAAAAGCATGGCTGTCAGACCAAATACTTTTGAACAATAGAATTCTAGAACTAACGTGCAACTTAGACTTTTATGTGCCGAAGAAAATTCATTGGTAATTGAATAATGTTATAAATAATATATATATTTTTTAATTATCAGTTCCCACCTGCCCACGCAACCCACCTACCAATTCCAGGGAAGAAATTGAAATATATTACTGACTGCTATTCTCAAATATCAGACCTGTGATTGTGAAGAAGCTTGCATGCAACAAATGGCTTCAAATTCCAAATTACATGCAGTGATGTTTCCATGGCTGGCTTTTGGGCATATTATTCCATTCTTTGAGCTCTCCAAATTCATAGCTCAAAAGGGTCACAAAATCTCATTTGTTTCCACTCCAAGAAATATAGATCGTCTCCCGAAAATCCCCTCTCATTTAGTTTCTAACATAACCCTAGTTAAGATTTCACTGCCTAAAGTTGAAGGACTCCCTGAGTCTGCAGAGGCAACCATGGATATCAGAAATGAGGATATGGACCATTTGAAGAAAGCATATGATGGGATGGAAACTGAGATGACTCGTTTCTTGGAAGAGTCACGTCCAGACTGGATTATATACGATTTTGCTGTTAGATATTTTTCATCATTTTGCATGTGTTATCTTTTGTTTTGCGAATATTTTGCCGCCTCGACTAGTGTTTGCAGCTACGCAACGGGGAT